TTATATGATGGTCGCACAGTTTGTATATAAAAGTTTTAAACATATATAAGAAAAGCAACAAAGTGTGACAATAAAGCGTTTACAGATATATCAATCAGTGTATACTATCCATATATACACTGACATTCATTTGTGATAAGTTTTCTTTTTATTCCTTAAAATAAATTTTCCCACAAGAATGCACATATGACACTTTTCTTCAAAAAATTCAACTTAATTTCAGTATCTTTTATATGCAGTTTCAAGGAAACACAATATCATACTTGAAAGTTTCGTGTCTAGTCAAAATCCATATTTTTATGGTCAAAATCCATATTTTTATGGATAAAATCCATATTTTTATGAGTAAAATCCATATTTTTTGGTAAAAATCTTATTTCCTTATTTTCATGCAGATATATAAATGAAAGGTATATATTCAAATGCTGATGTTTTAAAATAGGCCAAATCCTAATCCAAATCTAATGTAAAACCATTTCAATAAAATGTTAATTCCATAAATCTCAGAGAAATGCACTGTTCTTTTAAATCACAATAGATTAGGATAACCCGTATCATGTATATAAAAGGAAGATTATCAATATAAAGGTCCCCCCCGTTCAAAACAACCCTGTCACACGCACGTCAATTACCCCCCTTTCATATATACTTGATCCACAGCGTAAAACTGCCCAATTTACGCTCTAATCTTGTGTAGTAATCAGTAATCATAGTTTACGATACCTTTACTGTATAACTACCCTACCTTTACTGTATAACTACCCGTTTGTAGTGGATAATATTGTGTGAAAAATTAATACGTATATTTAAATTGTTACGAATTTATTCTCTCGCTAAGGTGTAAATACAGAATTAATACCCAATATAAATAACCTAAAGTTTGTACAAAATGTCCACTTCAAGTCTTTTTAGTCTTTTCATTAAAATTCAATTAATCGTAAAATGTGATATTAAAATATCAATATACTATGTTCTATAACTATTTAGATCACCTGGAGTTTGTTTTTTCTCTAATTTAATGCAACTCTGCATTTATCAATAGAAATCTTTGGTAAATAAATCATGGCCAAAATAAACATATTATTTTAGTCTTTTCTAGTATTTGCACTGCTGAAAAGGTGTGTAAATTTCAAAACTGTTTAAGTTTCTATTCTATTTTCAAACATAGTGGTATACTATCACTCTAATGATAGGTTATTGAAGTAAAACCAATCTAAATCTTCTGAATAATTATTACAGACTGAATTTTAAAAGTTGAATTCTAGGTGAAATGGTCATTAGAATACATAAAACAAAGTACCTTGGACAAAGGAAGAGTAATTTATAACTTGCAATTTAACAAATTGAGAATCACTAATAACAGAGCACCTACTGATAGATATACATTTGTTCATCAAACCCATCAAATTTTATAGAATTTTAAATGTTCATTCACTACTACCCCTGTTGATTTTACAGTCACAGGACAATTTACTTGTTCAGAGAACAGTCATACTAATGCATAGAAATTTATTCCTCTATCTAAATGTGCTGAAAAAAAAATAATTCATTACGATATTTAGCTTATGACACTTTAACATGCTCACAATCTGGACCTGTATTCATTGAAGTTGTACCAGTACTACAGTCCTGGCGAGCGTTTCACTAACATTCTGTAAGTGTAGCGTAAAAAACTTTTTAAGTAAATTTGGACTTACGCTAAACGCAAATGTATATTAGGTGCGTTTCACTAAACTAAGTGAGTGTAACTTTACATTTAAACCTATGCAAATGCTTAGCTAAGAAAGTTTAGTGAAACGCAAATAAAATGTAAGTTCTGCTTACGCAAAAAGTAACGTTCAAACACGAGTTATGATAACACAAGTACATGAGTGAAAAGCACCCCTGATCCTTTTTGGTAATTCTCCTCAAGTGAGAGTCAACTTCTCCACATCATAACATGTGCCAATGAGGAGGATGCTAGAATAATTCACTTGACTTTTGTCAAAGATAATCTTATAATAATTTAAAGCTTAGGGGACCATTATGCTCTGTTGACAACATAATAATTTCTTTTATCTTTATTACTGCCAGACTATAATCAGATTGTTGAGACAAGTATAATATAAAAATCTCTTAAATTGAAAACTTTTTTCATACAGTATAAAATTTGCATAATGTATTGGCCAAATAACTGACAACATTGACAATAATTATAGAGTTTATACCTCACAATGTCACCTCACACGACCATGTCAGTCATTGTATACCATGTTATAAAATCAAAGTCACAACTTAATCCATGCTATATCGTATACTAATTATAATAATCCCTCTTGTTAGAGAGCAATGAACTTGAAAAAATATGTTAATATATTATAACAGTTTAGTATGTTTATAGCTTACAATATAAAAACCATGAAATATTAATTACCCTTGTGAAGTATTAAATAATTGCTGTAAATAATGTCTCGAGAAAATGTGATATCTTTATTATAATGTCTGGTAATGTATGTCCATATCAAAGTTGAGTTCAAAAGCATTTAGTTTAGTTATTGAAACACTCTCCGATCCAATGCAGGAAAGCAATGAAATGTAAAGTTTCTTGCTCAAGGAAACAACGGCTTACATATGCCCACCACAGCAGCAAATCCTTATCAAATGCTTAAATTTAGCATTTGATATGTACCTATGGGAAAACATTTTCTCCATAATTTGCTATAAGCAAGGATTTTCTATAAAATTTACCAAAAAGCTGGATCCCTTGGCTAAAATAGACAAGTCCCATTTTTAACCTATCAATTTTACTTAAATAATGAACTTATAAAATGATAAATCTCTGCTTAAACAAATACACATTTTTTCAGTTTAAGTGATAAGTGTAATACTATATGTGTCAGATAACAAAATGAAAGTATCAAGTTATAATATTTAATTATTTAAAACAAAAGGGACACCAGAAATGAAACATAATATTGTAATTTATAGTCAATATTAAACTTCAGCTATACAGGTGGTATTCTAAAATCATGTCAAAATTTGTGTCAATTTATAAACCTAAAGCACACAGGCTTTTAAATTATTTAATTTTTTATTCTTTCTCTATAGGTCTAATAATGATTGTCATAAAAAAAAACTCACATAAAAGCGAAAATAGCAATACACCATTCAATTGTATCCCTGATCCCTTATCTCCAGGGAGTAACGAGGACTTTGAATTATCAAACCCCTACCTACTAACATAAACAGCCATTGTGAGCCAACTGGACAAATAATTAAAAATTTTGATGGCAAGACAAAACCCACCCAAACTGCACAGCAGTGCAGTGACACCCTTGACTAGTGTAACAGATTTGGTTATTTGCCGTACTGCTGGGGATGAGTTTTGGGGTGGTGAGGATGGGAGTGGGGATGGTGTGGATGGGAGTGGTGGTGGTTTGGGATGGGAGTGGGGGTGGTCAGCAGGGCAAGATTACAGTTGATTGGTGTATTACAGATAAATATCCTGTCATGTCTAATCAACTCCATTAGCCTTAATAAAACGACCATAATTTATAATGTGGACTTTAATTCAACCTGCTTAATAACAAATTACCAATCACCAATGATCTACATCTGAATTATTTTCTCAAATCCCTCTGTCACAATAAATACTAACTTTCATTATATATAAACACTATATAAAGAATTGGAAGTAACACACACACACACAACAAATCAAAGGTAAATCACAATCAAACAGTAAAATGTAGGGTATTACATACAACATCATATAATGAAAACTCTAAAGAAATTCACCTCACACACTTCAAAACAACCACTTCCACAGAAATGCCAAGTAAACACAGAAAAAAAATTCTCTACAAAATCTTACTGGACTGACTTACAGACTTCTAACAATAACTACACTAAAACAACATTTTTACTGAAGTTGCTACTCATAAAATATTTATATTCTATTGATCAAGTCTTTATTATTATCAGAAACTTATGCATGTAAGTAAATTCAAACAAAATCCTCTGCTCTTGATTTTGCTTGCTTTTTTAAAGAAATATATAAACTGATTGCAAAAAAAAGGGAAATAATAATAATTTAAATGTTTCCTTGACATGAATAGACATTGTAATGTGATAATGAAGAGAGATTTGTGAAACAAACCTATGAAAAGATGTTGTTGAAGTGTTTAAAATGATAAGATATTCTATATAACTAAATTCTACCAGTATAATGTAATATGTATAAGAATATGGGTGAAAAAATGACAAACAAGTATATACTATGTACCAGGTGGAAGAGACAAAATATGGGTGAAAATGACAATGACTAATTAAAATCTTCTCCAAGGAAACCTTTTAATGAAAATGCCGAAAATACCAAAAATATGAAAATATTGAATTCTCATGTATTGATAGATCCCTACTCTGACCATTTATTTGAATAACAATATATTTGACAACAAACATTGACTTGACATATATGTTGGCTGCGATGAAATTCTAATTGTATCCACTAATCTGATAATCAGAATTAGACAGGTCAGGGATCTATGCATTGGTTGAAAATGAAATTTGTCCAACTTTGGAATTATGTAATGTTATAAGTTAAGGTGTATCAAGAAAATGTACAACACTAGAGCAGGTAACAGCTTGGTACATGGAGGTGCTGAATGCACTGACACTATACAAGTGCCACAGGTCAGCCTCCAAAAAGACAGAATGCAATCAGAGATAAAACTCAGTACCACATTTTGTAAATATGTCTACATAAAAACACATTAAAATTTGTTATTTGTTATCTAAATACTTAGTTCATCTTAACACATGAAACAGTTCTCTTTGATAACAAATTATGAAAGATTTTCGCATAAAAAATGTAATGCATAACTATGTTCCAAGAAAGTTTTTGAACGTTAAAAAAAATGTATAAAATGGAACATTTAGATGGTTATATATATCTGATGAATCATAAGAACAGATTTCCTCGTAGAAGATAACAACACATGAAGTATGAATGTACTTACAGCGAGACCGCCTTGTGACAGCCTTCTCCGTGGAAGCTTTGTTAGTAAACATAGAACGTTTAGTTGAGGAAGATACGGTAAGAGGCGAGGGCATAGACTGCTGCCGTAACACAGGCTTCACAATCTTAGGGCCGGGTTTCCGCACAACACCTTCCCCACTACTAGAACTATCTAGCGCTATACAGAGCAGCATGGGTAAGAGAAGGACAAATACACCGTGTTAAATTAGTTCTATAAAACTCTTCCTTACATTAACAATCTCAACTCTAATATTTCACTCTACACTTATTTTTTTTCATTCAATTCTGTAAAATCATTAAACAAATTTGGAGCAAAAAAATTTCATGGGAATTCAACATAATTTTCTTTCCAATAACAAAATAAATGTCATTCTGTTGAGCAATTTCTTATTTTCAAGAATTTTCTTCTATCAAACAATTCACAATGTAATCTATAATATTTTGCAAGACCTAAAAATTGAAATTAAACAGACTGTAGTTTTGTGAAGCTTTATCTCATAAAATGAATTTTGTCAGACATTTTAATTTCATGATAAATAATAAAATGTTATAATGGAAATTTCTGCTTTAAAGTTTTTACAAATTTTGTGAATTTCTGTCTGCAAATTACCTATTTATTGATCTGGTTATATTGTTCAATGTTCAGAAGAGTTTCATATTTCAATCATACACATTTCATGAACCCCCGCCAACTTTACATACAAAGGGGAACAACTATGAAAGGTGTATGATACCCAAAGCAATATTAAGCAAATGCATTGTGAGAGTTATTTCCCTTGTCCAGTGATAAATTAGCAAAATGTATAAAACAATGTTAGTTACCCTCAGCAGCTGAAAGTTGGTAAATGTTAATAATGAAAACATTAAGTTATTGTTTCTTTTACCATGCATAAAATCCTGTAGAGTAGTATTTTACAATCAAATTAGTAAATTAACTCTAAGTTTATTAAAAAATGTATTCACAAGAAAAATACAAAAGTCAAGAATTAGTAATAACTCTGATAAGGAGGGTTAGTTTGAAAAAAAAATAAAAAAATAAATATCATATCAGCCAATCCAGAGCCAGCCTATAAACTCACAATTTGAAGGTGGGAGGAGTGCACTCTTTCTCCTTTTCTGATTGGCTGCAGCTTTCTGTATCTTCATTTCCATTTCTTGGGCTGTAACCTGTGAAGAAATACATTAATATTTGCTGCATTCAGAATTGTTAAACATTTTAATCTAAATCATATTAACATTTAAATCATATCTTCAAACTATGATCCAGATTTCACATCTTTAGTATAGTCCTTTAACAAATATCACTTACTTACATAGAGCTAGAAACACTATTTGCTACACTGAAAGCATCATCAAAATTAGAACAGTCGAATCTAATACAACAAATGTGATGACTTCTCTGGTTAAATTTTTTAACGGATATGTACATACATAATTAGCGATATTTTCGACAAGTTTTCAATGTTTTAATTTTTCAGTCCTTTTACACAGAGTTGACTTGCTAGTGATTGTAAAACAAAGAATTTTTGTCCACTTTGCTATGTAATTTCAGAAAAATTGATATGAACTTAGATGTAATTGTCTTTGGTGTAAAACAAATCCTGTCTCTTCATCCCATTGGTCACTGATATATCTTGAAACTAACACAGCGTTGCCACTCTCATTCTTTAAAAAGCATACGAACAGTATGCCTTATTTTTCCACAATAATTTTACAATTTTCCTTGTACTAAGTAAATGTCTATGTCTTTATAAAATAACAAAATTAAATAAAACATTAAATCTAGATAAGTGAAAACAGTAAACAAATTATTTCACAAAATGCAGATATATAACTATTTGAATTATTGAATTATCGTAACATGGCATGGTCAGTTATGTCACATAACTAATCAAGGCTGATATTTCACGCAATATGCTGACACTGTCTCGCCATCAACACATTAAAGTAATAAAGTAATTATTTTATGTGGCATTATGTCACATGACCTACCTGGGAACCAGATTCTGATATTTCACTAAATGCACTGGAGCTGTCCCGCCTATCTTGTAAAGACATAGCCCGCTCAATCTGCGGTAATTCTGAAACAAAACAAATCAATAAATTACAAAAAATATTTTTAAATTTTTTTGAATTTTAAAAAACTTGGCAATTAAGAAAAGGTATTATGAATCATATAAAACATGTTATATGCAGGACAGAAGCTGTAAGGCCTTTAAAATGCACCAAACAACATACTAAACTAGTGACCCAATTAATACACAATCAAAAAAACAAAGTAATTAGTGAATGCCATTATAAAATAAGGTTGCATTTCAGGCAATTTGGTTTAAATGAAATGTCAATGTTTGTTTAATAAATCACAAAGTCTAAGCAGCATGACCTGTGCATACTTTAACTTCACTTGCACCTGATGCACCTTTAACATTTTTTTACTCTTCTTTTCTTGCTGCATCTATAATATTACCTGCAGCACACCTGTATATCTGCACACATACTCTCTCCAATCTGAACAAGATCCAATAAAACATCTACTCCAGGCTTATAAAACTGATGATTCAAACGTCAAGTGTTATCAAACTGTTTAAAATTTCAAGGGTTTTGCGAAAATTTCTACCCACATATTATGAGGAGAATTTTTAGACCATCTATATTCAAATAAATTGTTTCAAAGTTTAGTGTTACTCATTTGAATACTAAGACAACTGGTATAATCATACTAATGGTGAGGATTTGAATTTAATTAACTTTAATGGTCAACATAAGTTCTCAAAATGCAATAAATGTGAACAAATAGTTTTAAGGACATGCTTTTACACAGTATTATAGACATATTACTGATGATTCGAAATTCTTAAAGCAAGCCTATTTGCTTTTACAAAATCATTCCTATTTTATTCCCTTACATTCTATGACTTTTATAGCATGAAAGACCTTGAATGACAAAATTTTCTAAAACTTATTCAGATTTCAAAAGTTACTAATATTATTATCATCATTATTATTATTATTATTTGGATTATTATTATGATATTAAAAAAAGTTTACAAATAGTTCATAATCTTACGTTTTAGTGTTGTTACATCATCTTCAGTGGTACTCATGTCTGTCCTGCTACTTTGTCTGGAGCTTAGAACAGACCCAGTACCAGTCACACTTCCCCGTCCATCCAGAGAGTCTGCAAGGTCAATATGAACCGCCTTATCTTTTATTGATGGTCTCCTCACTGAATCTCCTGACAGATTCCTAACTCTGTCATTCTTTATAATACTGCTTGACCTTCTGTTCTTGTCTATGTTTTCCTTATCTCTGGATGGAGATGAATCCTTACTTTTTCTGTTTGGAGAACTACTTTTTGAGGTATCAAGTTTATTTCTTGGAGAGTCACTCACAGGTTTATTAAGTTCATTCTTTTTTCTATTAGGTGAAGCAGTACTTTTTCTATTTGGAGACTCGTCTACCTTTGGTTTTGGTGGAGGGGCTGTGTATTTCAATTTGCTTTGAACTTTGCTGTAGTCAGGTATAGCAGATGAAATTCTTTTTTTAGGTTTGGGTATCTCTTTCTCCTTAGGTGGGGCTGGAGGAGGAATATGGGTAAAAGCTTCTACTTTACTCTTTACTTCTGTCTTTGGTTTTACTTGATCTTTTTTGTTATCTATTTGAGACATAATTGCATCCCATTTACTTTTAGGTGGGGTTCTCTTGATTTTCTTTACTGGTTCTTTTTCAACAACAATCTCTGCCTCTTTTTCAATTTCTCCATTTGTTTTCTTGGGTTCTTCTATTACACTTTTGTTTGCAATTTTACTAGTAACTTTTGACAAATCAATTTTACCACGTAACGAGTTTCTTTTATTTTTAAACTCCTCTGTGTTACTCTTGTCTTCTTTAGGTTTAACTGGAAGTGGTGCTTTTAAATACTCTGACAACTTAGATACCACATTTGTTGTATTTGGTTTCTTGAAATCTTTAACTACATTAAACTTCTTTTTCTTTGGAGTCTTTTGTTTTTCATTTTTCTTTTTATCATTCTTATCTTGCTCAGTTTTCTTCTCATCTTCTTTATCTTCAATAGTAATGTTTACAATAGGTACATTTTCCTCTGTGTCATTTTTATCCTCAGAGTTTTCAGTATTAGATTCATTAAGGGTAAAAGTTGAGTCAGTCTCACCATCTCCGGTAAGTGTATCATTCTGCTTGCTTTCTAGTGTCACGGTAGAGTTTAATGCCTAGAAAGAAAAAATATCACACAATCTATAGTCATTCAAAACATCGAACAAATTATAATAATAGAAAAGCAGTCTTCATAAAGTTTGGTAAAATGGCTGCCTGTAACACATATCATTTAATATCCAATCAAGTATTTGTAGTCCCTTGGTGTTGTTAACAAAATGAAAATAACACAAAATGACATTCTGTTGTTTCTTGTTTCATAATATTATTATGCCAATATTCCATTGAATATTCCCTCTGTATATTTCATTAATAAATGGAAACAAAAGAAATTACCCTTTCATATCAGTATAGTCAGGCTCTATACTGTTGGCTTTAAAAAATCTTTATGTTATTCTCAAAGTTTATAATGGACACTTCCAGAGATGGAAAGTGGACCTGCCCATTCAAAAAAATCAGAGCAATCAAATTATCTAGACTCTTATCGAATGTTCAAAAGCAACATTTTTTACTATAAATCTATTATGCTTTTATCTCCAAAATTTCAGAAATGACTGGTTGGCTACAGCTTTCAATTAATATTACATTAAAATTAAATATAATTAGTCATGCTCAAATTTTTCTGGCAGTTGGAGGAGAAAAAAAACACATCTGATGGCAAAAAATAAAATTAATTGATCTGTAATGCTAGAAGAACATATTGGTGAACATTTTGTATCTGTTGATTGTTGAGCACCAGACTTCAAAATACAAAACATATGCCTCTTTCATAAATAAGCTATGTCTTAAAATAAATTTTATTACAAAAAACTAAGCCAACATTTTGGACAACATTTTTCTGCTTTAGGCAACTACCTGAAAAACAAGTTCAAAACGCATTCCAAGACTTTCATGTTATTTTTGTTTTTTTATTTTTTTTGGTTGGCAACACCAAAAATCTCTAACTGAAATAGATATGAGCCGCGTCATGACAAAACCAACATAATGGGTTTGCGACCAGCATGGATCCAGACCAGCCTGCGCATCCGTAGTTGTAAGCGAACAGCATGGATCCTGATCAGACTGCGCGGATGCGCAGGCTGGTCTGGATCCATGCTGGTCGCAAACCCATTATGTTGGTTTTGTCATGACGCAGCTCATATTATTGCAGTTTTCTCAGTAAAATTTTCTAAACTGTTTATTCCATGGAGCTATCTGATATAAAATTGCATGATGAAAACTCCCACTAAAATGTTATCAGTGCACTGGTGGCAGGCAATTATTAGCTGGATTACAATTATTAAAAAGAATAAAAGCTGTAGGATTGGTTGCCCAGCAACATTTCAACATTTTAGATTAAATCGAAAATGCAGCATTACAGAATTTTCATGAAAAAAAAAAAACAAAGTAACAGAGATTCATTTTTACATTTAATCACCGTACTTGTGATCTGAGTAGAATAACTGAGAAAATTCACTGATTACCAAAAAAATACTGACTCAGGCGTCTGCATCTGAACAACATTATAAGTGTTAAGTTTTTATTTCCAGTTTTCTAAGTAATTATTTCCTGTTACCTGTAGCATACTGAATGGTAAGTTTTTAATTCTATAATCATCTTAAAAATTTTCAACTTCCTTCTCTGAAGGTAATCAATGTTTAAGAGTATAATATTGCAAAATCTCCCATCTAATATAATATTGAATATTGATAACAAATGATTTGTTAAGAAGTCCAACATTTATTTCTGACACTAGAAAATTTGTTAAAATGGAAAAACAAGTAAACCTTAAAGAACACCAAAAATGGAAAAATCGAAAATGTTGCATTGAATTTTGAAAGTAGTGGTTATGCCAGCTATCATCCATGCCCTCTATGAACCAAATAATGTCTCTATAACCAATTAAATGTTACCTTTATATCTTCCACCTGGGTGATTTCGTCCTCAGACTCCTCAGTCTCTTGTATGTTGTCCATGGCAACCCCTTCTGATCTCAGGTACTCATTTCTGTAAACATCAAATACCAGGTAATTATAGCAATTTATACCTATAACTGACACTGAATTTGTTATTAAAACAATACATTCATAGCTGAAATAATATTTTATATAACCTTTTATAATATCTTCTTTTTTCCATCTTTACACTTAGCAACTAGTCCTCTTATTTACTTGGACAGAAAACGAAATATTGAAATATATTTAAAATTTTTACATCTGCATTTTAAGAAGTTTAAACCCTATATGGTTCTTAAAAACTAATTATTCATACATAGCATGGCTACTTTATCACTATAGACCACAATAAAAATGCACATGCTTAAATCCTTATGGTAAAAAGCCATAAATTTAACATTGCTTAAAATATATTTTTTGCTAATAAAAATAAGTACAGGATATGATAAAAAGTAAATACAAATCCATACAGGATAGTGTTATAATGCAGTAAGATAATTTATCGGTTTAACTACCATATTTCCTCAGATAAGCACATCTCATTTGTTTATTTAAAGATAAGAAAACTCTCATTTAAAATGACCTTATTAACTTAAGTCCCCTGACAGCAGCATGTAGCATTTTTGTAAACAATTCTTTTACAAACTTAAATCCTTTTAAAACTTCAATGGAAGATGAGCACAAGCGCAAAAAGTGTTAACAATAAACACATAAACAGTATAATAATTTAATAGTAATTTTTTGTTTCCATTAAAAATCACTTATACTGAAGCCTAGTTACACTGGTTAACTAGAATGACTTTACTATATTGGAAGACACTTTGACAAGCACCTTTGGGACAACTGGACAATGACCAGTGATGAATATAACATCCAATTACTACAAACATTATTGATACATTCAAATGAAACAAATGATGTTGATTTGAACAACCTTGTTGAAAACTTTATCATAGTAATAAGGATTTCACTGATACTAAAAGTCCTATAGAGATTTGTTCATATTCCATTTGTTGTAGTAAATGAAAATAAAATGAGAGACATTAATATTTGATTAATATATCAAGGCATCAATCAGTACAAATGTGAATCATAAACAATTATGTATAGCAAAAACAGTACTTCTGTCATTTGAAAATGTTATAAAACTATTAAAACCTTTGATGAACTTAAGTTTTTTGTTGTAATTTTCTTTCTTTGGTCTGATCACATTTTAGATCTTGCTTCTTTTATAAACATAATTTTGTGGAAATGATGGTTTTATAGACCTATTGCCTTCCCATGTTAAAACACACAAAAGGGCACCCAAATACAACCACCAATGTTTCCTAGCAGGAAAGCATTCTTACATGAAAGACACTCTTGTGCAGCTTGAACCTACAGCAGTGACTGAGGCAAATAGTTCAAAGTTAACAGACCTAACCTCTTGGCCACAGATGCCCCATCTTCTAAATAAATGCTTTTCAGAATAACTGTATAATAGTCTCTTTAAGCCACTGATCTCACAAAAGAATTAAATTTTTCAAGGATCAAACCAAAGTAGACAAAAACTAGAACTATCACTAAATGTGATTAATACCCCCACAAGACTGCTTCGGAAATGAGGATGTTACTAGTAACAGAATACCTTGTAAAAGAATTGAAATATAGAGTTATGGTTGTGGGCAATTAAAGATAGTTGTGGTTCTTATATGTTGCATTTCCTTTCAATGTGGTTGGCCATTGATGAAGTTTAATTGAATTACTCTGTAATAAGTCCAGAAATACAAAGAAAAGGAACAAAGGGCAATAACTCTATAAATACTGAAGATAGAATTATCGTTCTTGTGCACTGCACTTCCTCTTATTGTGCTTGGCCATTGTATGAAGTTGTTTTGAATTCCAACCAGAACGTTTTAAGTTATGCTCCTGACAAGGAAAAGTATCAAAGGGCAGTAACTCTGTATTTTGTCAAAATGGAGTTATGGCTCTTGTGCACTGCACTTCCTTTTAATGTCCTTGACAACTGTATGAAGTTGTATTGAATTCCAAACAGTAGTTTTCAAGCTAAGCTCTGGACAAGGAAAAGTAACAAAGGGCAATAACTCTGTAATTACTTTAGATAGAGTTATGGTTCTTGTGCACTGCACTTCCCCTTATTGTGTTTGACAATTGTATGAAGTTGTTTTGAATTCCAACCAGTAGTTTTCAAGTTATGCCCCGGACAAGGAAAAGTAACAAAGGGCAATAACTCTGTAATTAGTCAAGATAGAGTTATGGTTCTTGTGCACTGCACTTCCTCTCAATGTGCTTGACCATTGTATGTAGTTATATTGAATTCCAACCATTAGTCTTCCAGTTATGGTCCGGACAAAAAAATCAATGGAAAAGTAACAAAGGGCAATAACTCTGTAATTACTTTAGATAGAGTTATGGTTCTTGTGCACTGCACTTCCCCTTATTGTGTTTGACAATTGTATGAAGTTGTTTTGAATTCCAACCAGTAGTTTTCAAGTTATGCCCCGGACAAGGAAAAGTAACAAAGGGCAATAATTCTGTAATTAGTCAAGATAAAGTTATGGTTCTTGTGCACTGCACTTCCTCTCAATGTGCTTGACCATTGTATGTAGTTATATTGAATTCAAACTATTAGTCTTCAAGTTATGGTCCGGACAAAAAAAGCAATGGAAAAGTAACAAAGGGCAATAACTCTGTAATTACTTTAGATAGAGTTATGGTCTTGTGCACTGCATTTCCCCTTAATGTGTTTGACAATTGTATGAAGTTGTTTTGAATTCCAACCAGTAGTTTTCAAGTTATGCCCCGGACAAGGAAAAGTAACAAAGGGCAATAACTCTGTAATTAGTCAAGATAGAGTTATGGTTCTTGTGCACTGCACTTCCTCTCAATGTGCTTGACCATTGTATGTAGTTTTATTGAATTCCAAGGAAATATGGTAGTTTTTGGGGGTTTAATAACAAGGACATGACTATGGTGTTCAGAGTCAGCAAGAAACCGAAATTTTGACATACTTGTAATTTTATCTGAATCATTTATTCTTAAATGTCTATTTGATATAGAGCAAATTATGGAAGAAACTTTCTGTACAGGCTGTGGGACAAACTGGGTAATATGGATTATTGATTTTGCCGCCCCTCAGGTGTTTCTTTTGAACAAAACTTAATCTTGTAACCTTGTTTTGTTTTGAAACAGGATATTTTTGCTTTGAATCTGAACTGTCTCTTGAAACTGTAAAGAATTTCATTTCAGTTTCTTAAACTAAAAGGCAGTTTTTAAAATTGAAAAGGCCACAAATTTTAAAACTGAGTACAACTAAGAAACATCTCAAAAAATTGCAAAACCCACATTTTTAAATTTAAAAAATTTTTGTGAAATTTTGGGGTACTAAATGGGTAAAAACCTTATTTCCTTTTTTTTAAAAAATAATAATAAAATTTGCATTTTTTGTTTTTACCTTTTTCCTGTCATATCTATATCTTACCTCTCATTCTCAGTATCAGTGTCTCCTGTCATTGTTCCAAAGTCACTATCTGATTCTACAGGTACTGGACCAAGCTTTGTTACATCTAGATAATAATAAATATGAACATAACAGTTACTGTAGTTGGCTAATATTGATATAACTAAATATTTACATTCAATGATAAATATATATTTATCCTAACTTCTCAGGTTTTTGTTGTTGTTGTTTTTGCCTCTTTTAAAAATATCTCCATTAAAATGTCAAACAGAAACATCATTCATAAAGTTCTACTTATTCAGGATTCCATAACTATAAATCAAAATTCTTTTCCTAAAGACAGAAACATAATTTAGAACAAATGTATGGGAACATGTAGAATAGACAGTAAGTCTCGATTATTGTAAAGAATTGTAAATAAATGGTACTATAATATTCTTCCTCTGAGAACTGTTTCAGTCTAAAACCCATGTTCACAGAAACTCTCCCTACAAAATTTGGATTTCATGAAAATTTAGATAATTTAAGAATAGAAAAAAAAATTTATGTAATTTATTTAAAGGGCATTTTTTTAAATCCCCCCCCCTTTTTCCAATTTAATTAAAAATCTTTTTTTTTGAAAAAAAAAATGTTTCCCGCCTGCAACTTGCCCAAACCTTTTTAAAGTTTTTACCTTCTTTGCTTGAAAATTTTAACTTTTTTTTTTTACTTTTTTAAAAACTTTAATAAAAATGTCAAATGGCAACTTTTTTCCGGAATTTGGGAACCAAAATTCAATAAAAAAAATTTCCAAAATAACAAATGACCTTTTTAATGGGGCTTTTTGTTTTTTAAATGGAACCAATTTTGAAAAACGCAACCCCTTAAAACCTTTCAAAAAAGCTGGTTTAATTTTTCTTTCCCCCCCATTTGGGAAAAAATTTTTCAAAAAATCCCAAATTGGAAAAAGGAAGCTGTGGGGTTTAATATTTTATTTTCCCAAAAAGGGGGTAGGGACCCGATTTTCCTCATCAGGTTTTCTTTCCCCAAAAAAATTTTTTTTAAACGCAAAGGGGTTAAAAAGGTTTTGGGCCAGTCATACCAAGGAAATTCGGGGTTAAAATCCTAAGTGGGTTTCAACACCCCTTTTCCGAAAGGGTTTAGAGCTAGTTATTTAAAGGAAAATACTCAAAAAAAGGTTTTTATTTTAAAATATTGCAAAATTCATATTCTTAACTAAAAACATTGTGTATATTTTAACATAAATACACTGCATCAATACAAACCTCTGAAATCCTCGATAAGATTTTTGTGGACAGAATCTGCACGTTCTGGGAAGTGACCATGGAAACCTTTGTCCAGCCATTCTTGGGGAGAGTTCAAGGTCAAAGTTCCTATCTCAGAGTCAGTATCCGGTGCATAACCTGAAATAGTTTGATTTGTTTTTTTTTCAATTATTGTGTAAAGATCTGCATTGATGAAGTTCAGGGTTTTTGCATAGTTTACAGTAGAACAAATTTAATATCCTATACTAGATTATTAGGATTAAACAACAGCAGTATTACTTTTTATGCAGAATTTGTACATTGATAGCATGCTTAGCTTCTTAGATATTTATATACATTTTCAGTCAAGTATTTTAGTGACCTTGAAATATCTCAACATTTGATATAGGAAAATAATTTTGTATAATTGAATATTAATATTTTTTGCAATGTAAATAATTTTGATGATGATTATTGTGATGATTTGCTTTTCCAACACAATTTGTGGTACTACTGAATAAGTCATTTTTGCCTACTCAGTGAACAACAAAAATGTTCCTTCATTCTTCGTAAAGTTTAATGACAGCCCTACAATTAGTGCCGTCAAGTCACAACATCTCTGCTTCTGGCAAACAAAAAATATCATACAACTATTGACAACCCAAGTGTCTCTGTAATGTTTACAAAAGAGCGTATTGATTCATCAGCCATTTTCCGGTCTGAACAGCCCGAGAAACTAAATCAATTTCTTCTTATAATCCAAGTTTTCAGTATATAGCTACTTTGCGATGTTGAAATTCTTGTGCAATATTGAAAGACGGGTTTATGAATCAACATCAAAGTTCAATAAATGTTTTATCAGCAAAAAACAAACTAAATTTTTCTTGGCTTAAAAATTTGATTTTCCCTAACAAAAAAATTTTTTTTTGGGAAAAAGAAAAATTTCCCCAGATGTAAAATTTTTTCTGTGTTGTAAAAAATTTTTCCAACTTGAAAAAAATAAAATTTTTTTAAAGAAAGGGACAGATTTTCTTTTAACATTATAATAACCAAAAGGGAACATTTAAATTTTGATGTTTTTTAAAAAATTTTGGGGGGCTCCCAATTTTTTCCCTTGTTTATTTCCCATTTTAAAACATTTTTTCTAAAAAAGGCCTTTAAAAACCAAATTTTTAACAATCAACATCACATAAAAGTTTATTCATTATTTTCTCTTTTAAATTAAATAGTGTTTATTTAAAAAAAACTATTTCCTGCTAAACCCCTTAAAAAAAACCCTTAAAAATGGGACAAAAATAATTCAAAAAAAATTAACCCCCTTTTAAACCCCTTTTTTTTTAAACCTGAAATTTTTTGGCCAAAAAGGATTTAAAATTTTTAAATTTAAATTAAGAAAAGAGGCCCCGGGAGAAAACCTTTTAAATTAACCCATTCCATCAAAAACCCAGACTGAATTCCTTAATACAAAAATCTTCTAAAAGTCAGGATAAAAAAAAAATTTTAATTAACAAAAATTTAAATTTTTAAATTTTTAATTATAGGGGCCCATTCATAATTATAACAACCCCCCAAAGGCAAAGTGAAAGATAAAAAAACATATAAATATCAGAAAACTTTTAAAAGGGAAAAACACCCTTTGATCTGTAGCCCGGGGGAAAAAAGGGGAAAAAAAACATTAAAATGGAAGTTAGAAAATATAAGGGAAACCCTGTAGATAACAATAAATATCTATAATAACTAGATGTCCTAAACTTTTCCTCCCTATAAAAATTTTTTTACATTTTTTTCTTTTATTCTGAAAACCAAAGAAAGGTCAAAGCTTTCATGCTGATTTAGCCTGCTTTTTTCCCAAATAAAAATTTAAATTAGGGTTAAAATTACTTTTTTAAAAATATTATTTGGTTTTTTTTTTTTTTTTTTTTTTTTGGAGGGATAATTTTTTTTTGGAAAATGAAAAACCAGCTGTGTTTTCTCAATTTTAAATTTTAAAGGTTTTTTTTGAAAAATTTCTATCCCAGAAAAAAATTAATGGTCCAAGTTTTTCCCCAAAAACAACTGGGTCTTAAAAAAAAAATGGGAAAGGGAAATAAATTTGGAAAACCTTTAAGGCAGTTTTCACCTTACAAAAATCAGTCAGTTCCCAAAACATGGACACACCAAAATTTAAAACGGGATGGTTGTGGTATAAAAAAAATGGGGTTAACGGAAGGGATAATCAGTGTTTGTTCAGGGGGCAAAATTTAAACCCAAAAAAGATAAAACAAAAGACTGGTTTCATCTCCTAATTTATGTTTACAAAGATGGGAAAACCACAATCACACGCTGTACTTAAAGCATCCAAAATGAACACCCTATAATTACACCTTCATTAAATAAAAGAGGAACTCTATAACCTTGGGTGTTTTTTTCCTGTTGCAATGTTGTTGCCAGCATTTCTAACTTTCAAAGTTTTGTTTGTTTGTTTTTTTTTCTGCTTTTTTAGGCTGATTTTATCACTTATTTGGTCATTTGTGGCAGATGATTGGCTTGGCCAGCTTTCACACCAGTAAGTACCAACTTCTCTGCAAGTGACTGGCTAATAATTCCATATTATATCTTAAATCAGCCATGAGATACATTCAATGACCATAAGGTCAAAGATCAACTGTCAGCATATTAAGGCCTAGCCTGAGGATCAAACCACCAACCCCTGGATTACCAATCTGATGCTGTCTCTATTGAGTTCAGCAGGCAAAAAAATTTTTTAAGATTACGGGCCTGAAAATTTTCTAAAAAGGATACTTTATACTTAAAAAAAATGCAACTGGCATTTAAAATTGTCCTAATAAGGGAAGTACCTAAAACTTTCCCAAAATGAAAATTTTTAAAAATTTTTAAAATTGCTCAAAATCATAATGTAATAATTTTTTTTTGACAAATAAACTCTTATCTGATGATAAGATCTAGTCAAAAATAAAATTTGTTCAATGGACAGAAATCCCATCCAACCCCACCCAATCACCATCCCCTCATTCCCTAATCTCTGTCACTGGAATGCATAAAAAGTAAAAACATGGTAACTGACTTCTTATAGTCTCATTATCTTTGCTAATTATTAAACTTTCAACCTCCATATTAATAACTATGTCATTCATTATTCACTTACATACATGTTTATACATTATACTGAACTCTAATTTTTGTACTAGAACAGTAAACCCCCATTTATAACACTAAATATTCATAGACAGGCTTTCAAATGGATATGAGTTTGTATTGATTATGGAGAAAAGTGATATGATATTATGTCAGATAAATGGGAAGTTCAATATAATAGATTTGTCTACCATGGGAACAGAACTATCCCAGGATTGGCGATGGACAGCCAAATCCTAATGCCAAAATGTTAAACGCTTTCCTACGCAAATTTTTTTACGGAATAATCTAGAATGGTTTGTGAGCTGATGAAAACAAATTACATGTATATTGTATTTCTACCGTGATCCATAAATAAGAACTGTAATCCATATTTAGACAGATTTTTTATAAAACAGTGTCATTGATTTCCTTACAGACATTACCATTGCCAAAACATTTCTTTTTTCCTATGGATGCAGTGGCTGTTGTATACAATTATTTTCTTTGAAAGATCATAATTTTATTCATTCAAAAGGGATGCCCTTAAAATTACTTATACAAGATTTAGTTTGATTGTGTTGGATACTATAAGCTTATTGAGACACTCTCGAACTAACCAGTACTAAGCAATGAGTGTAAAGTGTCTTGCCTGTGTAAAAAAAGACTTGACCTTTGTCGGGGTTTGAACTAACATGACCAGCAATCCTAAAATAGATTACTAAATTTAACCACTTGGCCACACCTTCATTCTCATGTTGGTAACTTACATGGGAAAACTCTTTAGTACTGCTGTACTGTCCAAAATGCTGTATTATTATTTAAGTTCCATACTTTGAACAATTTAAAGCAGTGGTAGCTCTCCTGAAGGTGTTTTTCAGTGATAAATCTATAGGTAAGTTAAAGCCCTCAGTGTTGGACACATGCCTAGGTTAATGACAATATATCAATCCACCTGGCATCTACAAGGGTCAAGCTATATAAGGGTAATACACAGTGACTTAAATCAGAGCTCTACCAGCAGGGATGGGATTGACATAGGTCTTGATTAATAACAAAGGTCTGTCTGATAGTTTCACAGCAATTAATCAATGTTGAGGACAAATGATTTACTGAGATATGCCAGATCATTCCTATCCAGCCTGTCCTTCAAGCGTTAATTACAATGATACCAAAAACAGATCTATGCCAACTGCTTCCGTAATAACAAAATATTTCTAGAAATTAAACTCCTAATTTAAACATCCCAGCAAAATGGATTACTTTATAATCCTATATTAGAGGACAGACCTAATTTTTCTCTGAATTAAGTATTAACTTTCTAAGACACTCAAGCCTGACTATTTCATTATTATCTATATTAAATCTAACTATTAATCTCAAGAGATTTAAATGGATATAAATTTAACTGAAATACTTTGACTGCTGTCAGCAATTTTACAGTGCCAAATAATCCTGGAAATAGTCCCTGGATAATGTCTCTGAATTACTACGCATAAACAACATCTAATTGTATGGCTCTGTTAGACAATTTGCAGGGAATAGAAATGCTGATTATGCAATAAATTGTGTTGAGGAAGATTAAGAAATGGCCTGTACTAACTAAAAAACACATTTCTGAGAAAAAAGTAATTTCAGTAAAGTATTTGTAATATCCTTGAAACGTTTAATTTCTCTCTTTTAAGCTTGATTATTTTTATATGCTGACAAAATGCATTGTATGATTTTTGGGAGGCAATTTCACCTTCACATGTTATTGTTTCCTATTGCATTATATGCTCAAAAACTACATATCCAGCCCATGTGTAATACTGTTAATTCATTTTATGTTACAATTGAAAAGGAACTCTAAAAAAATGTCAATGTTCAGCATTATCTTGAAAAAAAACATTTTACTTTAGAATTATATTCTTTGCCCAATGGTGCATCCAGGGGCCATTGGTTTGATGCTTAAGCAAGACAAAATATCGCTGCATCAACTGATCCTAATCTAGGTTGTCTCTCATTTGTGATTCATGTGGGATTAGTAGTCTGTCACTTGATAAGCTGTTGGTAAACAGCGGGTGGTGACGGGGGTGGGGGGGGGGGGGGGTGGGGGACCAACTGCCAAGACATGACCATAAATGTGTTAAAATCAGCAACTGTTCTCAAATCCCTTAGAACTAACAGTTTTAAGGCTAATTGGAAATCATTTAATAGAGAAAATGTCCTTGGTCAAAGCTAAAGGGGAAAAAAATTACAGACTTTAAATGAAAATAAGCACGCTCAGACTTGCAAAACAGTATATGATTTCCATTAAACCCTTTGGGGGAAAATGCAAGGGATTTTTAAAACCAAAATTCCCTTTCCCCGCGATTTTTTTTTTCCCGCTTTTTAAATTTTTTTTAAATTTTTTAGAAATTCAAATTTCTGGTTAAAAATACCCAACGATCAGCAAACAAAAAGGGGGTTGGGCCCTTCCCGGGGCCGACTGCAAAAATTTAGGCGGCCCAGATAAAATAGATTTTTCTAAGACATTGGCAAGTCATGATTGCCAAAAGCACTCATCAAGATAAAATGGGTTTTTGACCTCATAATTTGAGTCGATTCTGCTTAACAATTGTTAAATTATGCTTGAAATCACTTTTCCCCATCCAAGTCTTTGTAGATTCATAATAAAACATGTTTAAAATGTAAAGACTCAATTTCATGGGTTCAAAATTCAAACGTTTTCTTTACCTTAATGACCATATAAAGGGTTGATAGTGCACATTATAGAATATTAGTGTATTGTCATAAACACACTGTTAACTTCAAAGTGGTTTCATTTAATGATTCATAAATCCTGGGGATGAACCTAGCCATTAAAATCCTTCATAAAATTTAGCTTTATGTGTTACAGCATCTTATTTTTAACTTTCAAAAATGCATCAATTGTTTTAAAAATTTTTTATCAAAAATATAAATAAAAAGGGAAAATACAGTTTTAACATTGCAAACTGTAGAAAAATTTTTGCATGAAATCAGTCACATGGGTTTTTTACCCCGTCAAATTTTTTGTTTTTAAAATTTTATTAATTATTTATAAAATTTTACCAAAAAATTAACCCAAGGGATTAATTTTAAAAAATAAAATTTTTTTTTATTAAAAACCCCTTTTTGTATAATTTTTTTCTGCTGCCTCCCCAAAAAGTAAAAAAAATTTTAAAAAAATCAGTTTTAAGAAAAAAAAAGTTTAAGTTAATTTAAGAATTTTTAAAGGGGTTATTGATAAAAATTTTCCTATTTAAAAACCAATTTAATTTTATTTCTGACTAAAAGCAGTAAGGGTTCTTTTTGCACATTTTGACCGCTTTTTATTAATTTATGTTGATCATAAGTGCTGTTTGCAATGTGTTAATAATGTTCTTTGTTCACTTCACAATATTTTTAAAATTTTCATGGAAATTAGCAGGAAACTAGAGGCATGATGCTTTAAAAATATCACTCAATTAATAAGTAATAGTACTTCAATACAGTAAAAATAGGACTGTACTTAAACTATTATCAAAATCAGATAAAAAAGCTTTAAAGCTTCTTCATGATTTATTTAACATTAAAGCTTTATTGCAACTCTGATATGCTTAAAGGTTTTATGATATTTCTGCAATAAACTTTGTAATAAGATTTCATGCAAAATATCATATTAGTTGGTTCTTATCATCTGTGTGTTATGGCAGTTTCTAGGTTTATTTATTTATGCTCAAGTTTTAAACAATAATATAGTTTTACATCTCTCACCTGTATCAGCACTGGTGGTTGACAGAAATGATATAGGCCTATCCTTTTTGTTGTGCCCCTCACTCAAGTCCTGTATCAACTTTCGATCATCCATATCTTTATGTATTATCTCACTTCCTAATCCTACACTTTCGTTTTTCACTGTTACATCACTTTCAACACTACATCTATTCTCCCTATCTTCACCCCCATCCATTTTATCATTGACACTATCAACACCTTTCTGGTTAATTTCATTCCTCGGTGCAAGGTTTGAATCTAACATAGCACTTTGAACAACAATCCCAGAATCTAACATGCTCCGCCTTATACCAGGTTCCATCAAGGAACCTTTAAGTGACACACTTGACTCTACAAGTGAATTTCTATTAGAATGCACAGATATTGCTGAATCCGTCATTGACCCTCTCATAGAGATGCCCGAATCTGTCATAGCAACTTTATCAAGAAGTTCAGATTTATTGCTAATCACAGTGTTTTCAGTTAGTTCTCTTATTTGTTCATTTTTATCATCTAAAGTGAAAGTACCATTCAAATTTTGTTGAACACCAATATTTGACTGACTAGATTTTATGTTACTATCTTCTTTTGTAAAAGTGGAGTTTAAGGCTTCATTTTTAGTTTTTATGTCCTCTTGTGTGTATGTCGAATTCAGACCTTTGTTTTCAGGTCTGTTATTAGAATCAATGTCATCTTGGGTGTATGTTGAATTCAGATTCACACTACTTCTCAAGCGTGGTTTATTTTCTATATATGGTGTAGAAACTCCTGCTAAATCTGTTTCATCAAATTCAACAGACATGTTTAAATCATCTTGTTTCTCTGGGGTAATGTCTTTATCTTCTGACATTGGTTCTAACGTACCTTGAGAGGTAGCTAAGTCTTCTTCATCTTCATTTCCAAATATCTCATTAAGTAAATCATTTTTATCAAGTGAAAAGCTTGAAATCAGTCCAAGACTAGAATCTCTACTCATCTCCATTGGAGCTGATGCAAATTCTCCATCTTCTATCATCTCCTGGTCAAAGATAAATTCTGGTGAAGGAGATTCTTCGGATGGTTCCTGTGTTGATGTTTTACTTTCAGATTCACCATCAAATGTTATATTAAGATACTGTGCTTTACCGTCACACATTGCTATATAATCCTTATTTAAACTCCAAGAATCTTCACCACCCGAGCTTCCACCAGCGGAATTCTGTAATTCAATTTTTTCATCAATATTAGAGCTAGTTCCATCAGTGTCTTCACCATCAGATGAAATTGTATGCTGGCTATCTAAACCTTCTTCCAAAATATTTTCTTCAATATTTTTACTAGTCACTAAATCCCGCCGCACATAATGTAACCTTGAATAAGCATGTGATGCAGGCCGCGGTAACTTTGGTAATTTTCTTTTAGGCCTATCTATTTCCCTTAATGAACTATCCTCATCATCATCGTCACGTATTATACCATTTTCATCAAGTCCTAGAATGTCTTCATCCACTTCCTCGCATTCATCAACAAATTCACTAGACCTGTTTTGATAACCTATTTCATCGCTTATTGGACTAACATGACATAGCTTACTCTTACTAGGAAGCTGGGAAACTTTGACCGGAGATTTAACAATTGCTTGAATAGCTTTATGATCCAAGTGAGCTACCCTTTCAACTGGTGCGAAAATTCCATGACCCTTTCTACAAGTGAAGTACCTCACGTCACCAACTAATCCATCATGTGTCCCATCTGCTTCATCAATAGCAATACCGCACCATAACCCAGGAGCAAGATGAAAATTACCGAAATAAAGCAGGGTTCCAGTCTTCACTCCACTGATTGTAACTCTATCCCCTATAAAGAATTCCTGGGGTTCAACAGGGTCAGGTGCAGTATTTTGACTGGGACTAGTCTGAGGTATAGGAATTGGCTGTGTTTTTGGAGTTTCAGCCTCTACAGCACCTGTAGATATAGGTGAACTGTAGGTAGTAGAAGGACCAGGTAGTCTCGAAATGTATGATTTTGGCTGCTGCAGGAAGGACCGTCTCTTCTCTTGCTGCTGCCTGTCAGGTGTTCCCGAAATATCACCACCGGAATACTGAAAACAGAAAATGATCAAGGTCACTCAAAAAAATCAAATATACCTTTTTTAATACATCAATTAAAATGGATAGATCTAGCATGCAAGAATTGTGGTTATAAAACTCCCAACTGCTGAATTCTAATTAAGTATTATTTCTCATTTTAACTAATAAAAGTAAAAATTTTCCACAGCTGCCCTTTAGTGGAGTTGGAATGAAATAGGTTCCTGTTTTAAAAAAGAAATAGTTGTATGGCAGATAACTCACACATTTTAGCTATGAAATTAATCTTCATGTCAAAACATATCAGCATACCGTCAGCAGATAAAGTAAACTATCAATACCTGTTAACTTATTATTACAACATTTAACATGTTTCAGATTACTGGCAAGATAAAAATTTCAAGATATCACTCTTAAATAATCCTACTACTCCAGGTAATTTTAAAGATATTATTCACCAAAAAAAATCATCTCGCTTAATAGAAAATGATTGCTTTTTTTTGCTATTAACCATCTTTATTTCATTCCATTTTTTACAGAATTGATAAAAATGAAATACAATCAATAAAAATGTATCAGATTTGAAAGCTTTATTTCATGTTATGTCAAAACAAAAGAGGATATTTTTGCGCCTAAAGCATAGTTCACCATAACCTCAGAATCATTAGATCATTATGAATATATTTATAAAAACAGTTCATTTATATTATGATAAAAACACTATAAATATAAATCAAACCTTTGTGTCATCATCCATTATAAAATTCACATTTATACTCAAATATCCATTATTCAAAATTGGAGATAAATAAGAAAAAGAAAGAAAAGCGAATTCACTATCCCCAGATTAACATCATTGCCCTGAAGTCTGATTTTTTCACTGATACTTTCTTATGTTTTGCTATAGTTAGTGTATCATTCGGTAACAGTAAATAGTAAGATATGGACCACTGAACATAATAATGCATCTCCTTTCATAACACTATAAAAGAACATGTGACGCTTTTTCTCTAACCATGAGGGATTATCCTTAAGGATTTTTGTACTGACAATAAAATCTCCCAGTGAGCCGGAATAAATAAACAAATTAGTGACCTGACATGGATTGATGAGATTTAAAAAAAAAAATTGTAATAGACTTGTACTGAAGTATTAGTCGTCAACAAAACTATAAGATACTGATGCAGAATGTTGCCCTGGTGATACTATATAGTCTATCGATTGTAAAAATGATAACACTGATGATGCTGAATATGATGATGCTGATGATGATGATGATGGTGGTGGTGATGATGATGATCATGATGATACTAGTGATACTTGCTTAAAATGATGATTATTTTGAAGCCACAAAGATAATATTTCTAATGATGTATTGCTATTGATGATCTAAAAAATTCAAATATTGTTTAATAAGTTCCATAACTAATGTATATATATCATTTAAGCACATGAGTGATTACATTTGTACTTATAAATAAAATATATAGCATTTGACTATCATAGATTTAATGCTAAAAACATGCATGTATGTAAAATATATACTGATAATAAGATAACATTGAAATATGCAATATTCAGCTTATTTTTGTTGTTGCATGATAATAATCTATGCTAACAACAAGTGCAGTACATCTGAGATAGTTATGATTATGTTGTTTAACAGGTAAGCAAATAAATGTTGTACCAACAAGCTATATCACATTGATCAGTAAATCTTATATAAGACATAATAAACATGCATGATGCAGGTGTCTCACAAGCTGTTACTACTTTCATCCCTTGTCATTAATGTATATATGGATTATAATCTAATATACAAAACACTTTATGAAATAGGACATTTATTTCAAGATTGGGACATTTATTTTAAGACATGGGTCCTGAGGTTTAGATAACAGCAAAGCTTTGGAAATTTGTATAAAGTATAAGGGTTGAACCTAATAAGTTTAGATTGCACTAGATTTAATGGTTTAACAGACTTTAAAAAATTTTCTCATGTTGAATATGTCTTGTGCAATGATAAAGAGTGTCTTTGAATTTTAAGTTAGTTAATAAGGTTCAAAGTCTAAAATTGATCCATTATGATTAATGTCTAACATGGTCTTAAAATCAACCTGGATCAGATACTTCATTTCCAAGTCTTGTAACTAAAAATATAAATTTCTATAAGCCTAAATTAGGACCACAAATTATCTTAAACTTTATCCCCAGTATAAGTGCATATGTGCAGCCAACCAGACTCTCAACTGTTGGTTACTCAAGTTTTTGTATCTTTATATAGAGATCCCTTAACCTTGGAAATATTATTCCAAATTCAAAGAAGGAAAAATCCATAGCACCAATACAGCAGGTTAAGGGTTTATCACTTGCTGCATGAACGTTGTAACCAATACAGCAGGTTAAGGGTTTATCACTTGCTGCATGAATGTTGTAACCAATACAGCAGGTTAAGGGTTTATCACTTGCTGCATGAATGTTGTAACCAATACAGCAGGTTAAGGGTTTATCACTTGCTGCATGAATGTTGTAACCAATACAGCAGGTTAAGGGTTTATCACTTGCTGCATGAATGTTGTAACCAATACAGCAGGTTAAGGGTTTATCACTTGCTGCATGAATGTTGTAACCAATACAGCAGGTTAAGGGTTTATCACTTGCTGCATGAATGTTGTAACCAATACAGCAGGTTAAGGGTTTATCACTTGCTGCATGAATGTTGTAACCAATACAGCAGGTTAAGGGTTTATCACTTGCTGCATGAACGTTGTAACCAATACAGCAGGTTAAGGGTTTATCACTTGCTGCATGAATGTTGTAACCAATACAGCAGGTTAAGGGTTTATCACTTGCTGCATGAATGTTGTAACCAATACAGCAGGTTAAGGGTTTATCACTTGCTGCATGAATGTTGTAACCAATACAGCAGGTTAAGGGTTTATCACTTGCTGCATGAATGTTGTAACCAATACAGCAGGTTAAGGGTTTATCACTTGCTGCATGAATGTTGTAACCAATACAGCAGGTTAAGGGTTTATCACTTGCTGCATGAACGTTGTAACCAATACAGCAGGTTAAGGGTTTATCACTTGCTGCATGAATGTTGTAACCAATACAGCAGGTTAAGGGTTTATCACTTGCTGCATGAATGTTGTAACCAATTCAGCAGGTTAAGGTTCATCACTTGCTGCATGAATGTTGTAGGAGGTAATGGAGACAAGGTGGCTCTTGTTTTTGTTTTGTTTCCTGCCAGCAACATTAAAATATTATGAGTAATATGAAAGTCTCCTGAAGAAATATCTGACATTGCAAAACTTCAGATAATTGTTATTCAATCAATACTTAAGTCTGTTCATTTTCTTTCTGCATCTGAGAATGTCTTCCCCATTATCAACAACATCAAAACATAGAACTGCAGTGTATACAACTATTGTAAAGTTACAAATAATTTTAGAATATCTTTTGATGCAGAATAATTATCACAGATCTTAAAGAAATAGGCATCTAGCAAAATAATTAATCCCTTCATTCCGTTCTAATAATCTATTTACAAAGATCTTAAAGATTATCCATAAACTTTTTTATACCAAAATTGTCAAATAATTTTCATTTTTGTATGTTTTTGTAGGTTGTATATTTCCATATGGTAATTTTTATTTCTTGGCTTTCTTTTCGTAAATCATGCATGCATGTGCACAAATCATATTGTTTGTTACTTAAACATTGGCAATATCAATCATGATAGATGTATAAGGTATCATGGCCCGTCCTAGGAACACCTTAAACTGCATGACATTTTATGAGGAGGTTACAAGAGGGAGTAATTGGAGATAATTGGAGTATGCTTCTTTGGAAACTTTGTAAATGCTCATGAATACTGCTGCATACTAATTTAAACCACGGGGGATTCTATAAGAATAATTCTCACTGATGTTATAAATAGTCTAAATTAGAATTTGGTTTATTAAATTGATATATAGTTTTAACCTTTATACCCTAAAGAAGCTCTGTCTCAGAACATATGACCAATGTATGATTACAATGTAACCAAAGCAAAGTGTTATTCTTGCTTTCTAAAGTGCATAAAGCTGCATATAAGCCACAAAAAGTATTGTTTGACTTTAAACTGAAGAATACCTCCAAAATGCTTGTATGAAAGAAATATGGTAGTTTGTGAATAGCACAAAATTGTTACTTAAAATAGCAGTATAATATTTTGGCCTGGAACATTTTATTCTCTTTACATACGATATTCAGTGACATTCTATGTCACAACTCTTTCAAGAATTGACCATAAGATTATGGAAACATTACAATTTCACTGTTGATAAATTTTATAAAAATATTTCCTAAGATATAGCTTAATACCCTTAAAGTCACTAATGCATCTGTATTGTAGTCTTGAAAACATTTACAGTATACAAGGTGTTACAGCAGTTAAACATGTGACAACTATTTACTATGTTAATTAAACTACATGCTTGTGACAGATTGGACAAATGGAGTAGTGACAAAACTGTAATGTAAATATCAAACTGATTGACAAGTAACAACTGTTTGACAAGGTTAAATGTGAAGAAAAACAAAACTGGACATGGCCATCATGCCTGAATTGTCTCTCATGTATTTTTGTCTCTGCATCATCAGACTGTGTTACAAATCAATCCAACAAAGTTGAAGGTCAACCAAAGGGAAAGTTTGTGACAAAAACTGTCATTTGTCTGCAATCCCCACAACCCTTTCAAGTAACAGTGATAAATGCTGCAAGTCATACATATAGAAATTTGGAAGCAAGTTAGTGGTAACACCTGACACTAAATCATGGTGGCAATTACGAAAACCATTATACAGCAAGTAACCCAGTATGGCACCAAACAAAAATGGAAAAGGGCTAATATAAGTGCAGAAAAAGAGAGGGGTGGGCATACCACTATTTTTCAAATTGAGGGGTGGACATTCCACTATTTTTCAAATAGGATCAAAAAGCATAACCAGAAGGGTTGATATGAGAACT